CCCACTAGTTTCCAATATTTTCCCGTTAATATCCCATTAGTTTCCCACTAGTTTCCCATATTTTCCCATTAATATCCCATTAGTTTCCCACTAGTTTCCCATATTTTTCCATTAATATCCCATTAGTTTCCCACTAGTTTCCAATATTTTCCCGTTAATATCCCATTAGTTTCCCACTAGTTTCCCATATTTTCCCATTAATATCCCATTAGTTTCCCACTAGTTTCCCATATTTTCCCATTAATATCCCACTAGTTTCCCACTAGTTTCCCATATTTTTCCATTAATATCCCATTAGTTTCCCACTAGTTTCCAATATTTTCCCGTTAATATCCCATTAGTTTCCCACTAGTTTCCCATATTTTCCCATTAATATCCCATTAGTTTCCCACTAGTTTCCCATATTTTTCCATTAATATCCCATTAGTTTCCCACTAGTTTCCAATATTTTCCCGTTAATATCCCATTAGTTTCCCACTAGTTTCCCATATTTTCCCATTCGTATCCCATTAGTTTGCCATTCGTTTGCCATTCGTTTCCCATTAATATCCCATTAGTTTCCCACTAGTTTCCCATATTTTCCCATTAATATCCCATTGGTTTCCCACTAGTTTCCCATATTTTCCCATTAATATCCCATTAGTTTCCCACTAGTTTCCCATATTTTTCCATTAATATCCCATTAGTTTCCCACTAGTTTCCCATATTTTCCCATTAATATCCCATTAGTTTCCCACTAGTTTCCCATATTTTCCCATTAATATCCCATGAGTTTCCCATATTAATATCCCATATTTCTCATTGATGGTTCCATATTATCCTATCATATCCCACCAGGATCAATGGGCACCATCACCCAGGCCTTGAAGGCAAGGGAGGAGCTAGTGGCGATGAAGACCTGGCTGCGAACTCAGGGGAGGTTCCAATCCAAAAACAGAAAACTAGGTACATCATGCTACATCTCTAGATGACGTTAGATGATGTTAGATGTAGTTCTGTGAAAATTAGATGTTTCTGTTTTTTTTTCATATTTTTGTCCAGAATTGCATCTAACAGATCAGTAGATCTATGTAGATCTTGAATGTTCACGACCCCTGGAACAGATCGGGCCGGCAAGCAGCATAGCTTGCAGCAAGGTCTACTCCAGCCGCGTAGCACAATGCATACCGGGCATTGAGGCAGCTGTGCCCAGGCGAGGATACCTGGATCATCCACGCGCCCAGGAGGGTGTCCGGTTTTCTTTGAAAGCTGCAGGATTTGAGGTACACCATCATGGCATATCATGGCACCCCAAACTAAGCTCATGTTGAAGACCTTTCTGTAAGAAGGGCATTCACAAAGTCTTCAGCTCTGTCCCTGAATTTCAGACTCCTTTTGGTCTCCTGCTGGGGTGTTGTAGGCAACTTTCCATGTTCAGGACGTATGTGCCTTCAAGTGAAATCCATGCACATGGAGATGTTTCCACAGCAATTCTGCTCTCAAGAAGTTCACTCTGATTAACACCTGTTCGAATCCGGTCTTTTAGTCTGAGATGCCAGCCATCCGTAGCCGTACTTCGCTCGATTTCAAGGACACTGACGTCAGTTTTTGCCAGGTTCCCCAACTCCAACATCTCCACCACAGATGTCTCCGTGGTTGGAGGCGATGTTTTGGCTGCTTGTAGATGCCAAGAGTGAAAGTGGTCTTTCAGAGAATGCCATCAGATGATTTTTTTTCATTCTCGAGAAGATTGCAGCAATCTGGTGACTTCAGATACTTCAGAGTCCTGATGGAAGAGATTTCCAGCTCTTGCCAAATCCATCATCACACTTTTTTTAAAACCATTTAAAGGTGCGGGGGCAAACATCAATGGCTTGCCCATCGACACTGGCTTTCGATTGTCCAAACCATAGTGATTTGCTGGGACTCCGACCCCGTGATTTTCGAGGACGCATTCCTGTATTCCCCCTTGCTCTGAATGTAGCATAAACACAAGCTCTTGTCCGGAAGTATCTGTTCATTTGAGCTATTTACAGTCTGATTTTGGACATAGCCACATGATGTCACATGCCATATGGATCAAAACGCTAGCAGCTTATAGTTCGCATAGTAGTTCAATGTAGTTCACATCAAATAGCTGGTAGCATGTGGTACCTATGGATGTTCATCCCATGTATCACCATCCAATATGGTCGATCCCCGAGGCAAGGCTCCATGAGCCTTTCGGATGAGCGTGGCAACATGTCAGGGACTTAGCTGGGATGGAGCTCCTGGGTGGTATACCTTGTCAGAATCATTCAGCAATCTTCACAGACAATCCAGGGTCATTGCTTGTCATCTAGCAACGCCCTGTACATGTCATGTATCAATGGACGGTGTGCTTGTGAACAGGCAGACCTGCGTGTCCTGGGAGGCACTGCGAGATGTGCTGGGGGTGATGTAACTTCCATTGCATTTCTAATATTTCTTAACAGTGAAATCAAGATGATGATTCCAGTCCGTATCATGCTTTCCGCCGCAAAAGCATGAGCACGGGGGCCACAACAACGGAGCACATATTAGAGCTTGCATGCTGGCTGAAACGAATCATAAAATATCATGAATATATAGATATGATAAGACATATATATATATATCTTATAAATATAATGAATATTATATATATATATATATATTATAAATAATACATATATATATATAAGTTTTAGTCCTTTTTCAATGCAGTGTGAATGATTTTATAGATTCATTTATCGTACTTGGGACTCTCCCAGCCTAACGTTGAAGGTGGAAGTCGTCTCCTTTGGCTGTGGATGGGATGCCGCCATGACGTTTGGGGCCTAGGAATGCGCCCAACTGTTGGGACATTTTCAGACGGGAACCAGGGGGCAGTGATGAGGTTGAACATATAGGTGAACTTAGGAGACACATTAAATGAAATATGGCGACAAAGTAACATTCGCACATGATATCACGAAAATTGGCTGTAAGTTTATGGAATGAGATGTTGTTGCTATTTTTTGGCGGTCGCCAAAGCTATTCTGCTTAGCCTTGGTAGACCAAAGCGTTGCCATGCCTAGGTTTGGGATCGTGCTTCACCTGCTACTCTTTGTCACCATCATATGGAGTTGTTTCAGCAACCAGTGTGGGCCTCAGGGTATGCTTGGAACATCATCTATTGAATCTATTGTGTCTATGAAGTAGTTTTGCGACAGCTACTACTACTGGCACGTGCATAATCAAGTCCCCAAATGTGAGCAATTCACCGGGCTTCAAAGCCCGACATGGGAAAAGATCACCCGCCAGATTTGTTGCACCCAGGATCTATCACTGTAGCGCTTTCTGCTCCTGGACGAAGAAGGCGCGCAGCTTCCAGTCCCACTATTTCCGGTCCATACGATCGATGCCAGAGTCCAATCCAGAAAAGATTATAGAACAACTATTGAATTATTGCCAATTATTGCCAATTATTGCCAATTATTGCCAATTATTGCCTTCATGCTTCCTGGCTAAGTTGGTGTTCTATGCAGTTTGCTCAGGTAGAGCCCATTGTTGAGACTGACCCGGAGGAAAAGGAGGAGTCGGTCTGGAGTTCGGTATGCAAAGAGGGTTGAAGTAGTTTCTATATACATGTTTCTTCCACGTGTGCCTTTGATGACCTTATTGGGTGCATTCGATCCTTGCCGTGTCCTCTACTACTGAGTATACTGAGTCACATTGCTGTTGTATGCTGTTGTCACCATGTATCCCCGTGTCCACAAGCGCGCAGCGATCAGACCAATGACAAATTTTATTGACTTGCCAATCATATTCGTTCAATAGTTAAAGTTGTGCGTGCTTCTGCTGAGTAGGAATGTTGGGACAAGGGTGTGTACACTGAAATCTATCAAGTCCAGCTAATCACTCAGGATATGTGAGCATCTTTGATTTACAGTACATCCTGTGTTTGGATTATGTCTGACTGAATATACACATGCTATCAAATTGGATACCATCTATGAATCTAAGAACCGCGCAGCAACGCATATATTGTCATTTTGTTTGGAGATGGTTGGAGTGTGAAATAAGCTTCTCATGCAATCAGGAAAGCCGGGGTACATTGCAAGACAGCACCATAGGAGGCGTTGAGACGTGCTGCAGACGTTATTGAACTCAGTTGGGCATGAAAGACTACCTGCAAAGCATTGCAAGATTGGAACCAGGACAAACATTTCCTTTCCATAGCATTGGGTTGTAGTTTGCACCAGCCTGCCTTCAGCATCTATCAACATGCGATTCCTCATCCAACCAATCCGGGCACCAAATATGACGCCTAGGCCATCCGGAGGATGCCAACCGTCGCTACCACTGGAACCCCATCTGTGAAGGTGCGTGAGAGCTCCGGGTGGTTGATGGCTCTTGTTGCTCGATACTTATTGGATGATATTAATATATGCTTATACGATCTTATACCATCCAATATGCTGACTGTATCACAGTATGTCAACCATAACCATCTTAGTGTGATGCCACAAGTCTTTGATTGAGTGTGTGTGTGTGGAAAGCCCTGAATCAAAGGGTATCAGCAGGGGGCCATCCCTGTCATCATCGGTGGATGGCCAACAAAGAGGCCAATGATGAGAGTTGTAAACGTACCTGCGAATTTCTAACTTCAGACATGGCCAGGTGGCTAAGCCATAAACCACCCATGCCGACATGACATGATAACATAACATGACATGATTTCATTTCATCTCATTTCATCCTCTCCCTTCGGGGTGTCTCCAAGTGTGTCTTTCACGAGCCCGGATCTCTGATAAAGTGCCGGGGAAGCTTGGTGGTGCGTCCACCGAGGATACCAGATTACTTTCAAAATTTCACAGACATCATGTTGCCAGAAGCAGATTCCGCACAAGCATCCAGATGTTGCTTATCAGAATTCTCCAGCAGAAGCAGAGTCCTTCAGAAATCGCCAGATTATATGTTCAGAATTCGCCAGTATACAGATTTTTCATCCCCAGATTTCAACTTGTCATGCACGATTCATGTTCACCTAGCAATCATGTCGCAACCAAGCACTGAGAGAAACAGCACCATGCCGTTACCAGCCTTTTTTGTCGGTCGTTGGTTGCTTGCTGAACAGCCGGAAATTCTGATGCAGTGGTTTGCTTTTGTCAGCCTTCTTCAGCGGAAATTGCACTGAACGCCGTGAAACTTCCTTTGGTTTTTGTTGGAGCAAGCAAAACGCCACACCTCATTGGTGACACCCACGACCCATGTACACAGACATTTGAGCACCCCGTTCCATGTCACAACCCAGCACTGAGGGAAACAGCACCATGCCGTTGCCAGCCTTGTTTGTCGGTCGTTGGTTGCTTGCTGAACAGCCGGAAACTCTGATGCAGTGGTTTGCTGTTATCGGCCTATTCCGTGGAACTTCAGGTTTTTTGTTGGGGCAAGCAACACAATGCCACAGACATTTGAGCACCATGTTCCATGTCACAACACAACACCGTGGGAAGTGGGAAGCAGCATGCTACATTGAGGACCATATTTCTGGTTCGCAAAATCGTGCCCAAGCGGCTTGGTGTGTGTGTGGAAAGACCTGAATCAAAGGGTATCAGCAGGGGGCCATCCCTGTCATCATTGGTGGATGGCCAACGAAGAGGTCAACGATGAGAGCTGTAAACGTACTTGCGAATTTCTAACTTCAGACATGGCCAGGTGGCTAAGCCATAAACCACCCATGCCGACATGACATGATAACATAACATGACCTGATTTCATTTCATCTCATTTCATCCTCTCCCTTCGGGGTGTATCCAAGTGTGTGTTTGATCGGAACTTGATGCTTGTCACATGTTTTTATCGTTTCCTTTTCATCAACCAGGTTTCACCCTATGGCATGAAACATCAATCATGGGAATATCCGGTATATACACATATTTCGGAATGTGGTGAGTGGTGAGATGAAACCTACTTCCATATACTTCCATTAATTATGGGATTCCCACTTTAATGTACTCAAGTATGGGAATGAATCCCAGAATCAATCTTTTCATATAGGAATGGGATTCCCATCTGCCAGGCCATTGCAGCGGGCGGCGCTTCCATCGAAGAGCCGGACGGCATCCGATCGCTGGTGACATGAGCTAAACGTCATGTGTAGGGGGCATATAGTAAACCATAGAAATATGTAATACACAATATAGTAAACCCCAAAATATGCCATCCCTGATTTCGCCTCAAATAAGTTTTATGAATAATGCCCATTTTTTCTGATATTGGAGGCTTATTGGTTTTACCAAATGGACTTTCAATACGTTTTCAGGGCGGCTCAACCACCAACTTCCTGAAGTGCTGTGAAGATTATAATATGCTGGTTGTTGAAAAGGGGTTTGAAGTTCAGTCGACATCCCAGTTTTACAGAATGTTGATGAGACGACCCTATGAAGGAGTGGGAAGGCATCATCTATGCCATGCTGACTACATTACCAACATATATATATAGTACTTTAATATGCCTTTTTCATGGATTGTATTTGAGACCTAAATTCCCCCGACACAACTCTTGCAAGATATCAAACGCCGCTCGCTAGAAATGCCATCCTCGAGTCTCATTCGCGCAGAGCCCTGTGGCCCTATGATCGAACTGTGGAACATAGCAAGAAGGACTGTACGCTTGAGCCCCCACGTGAACTTACGAGAACATTTCTTACAAACAGGTTGTCACTCAAGTGATACTGTAGCACAACATCACAAAACAGTAGTCGCCACCTCTCCAACTATTGAAGTGAAAAGACAGCCTACATCTTTGCAGGGTCATACACATTTGAAACACATTTGACTCAAACTCTGGAATCGACTTCTCAAGTAGATGCAGCATGGCAGCACTAGAGTGGACAAGCCCCATCAAGCATTATCCAACAGACTCTCAACTCTTTGTTTTACATGGCAACTCTTAGACCGGCCTCGCCACTGTGAGCAATACGCTGCAGCTGAAGGCGCATAGAATTAAGGTCACTGAATGAAATTAAGGCATTTAAGACATGCATCTTGCATCTGCATCATCTTGCTACCATGAGATTCGATGATGTGGATGTAATATGATGTAATGCGCATGGTGCGCTGCGACCTCACTGATCTCTTGACTTTCCTGGTTTGAGCGGGCAAAAACTGGAATTTTGGCCAGCTTTGGTGGATGGGATGGCTTAAAGGCATGTGTCCAAGGGGGTTTTCCCTCCAACCTGTATGTTGAAGACATTTACTTGATGGCGAAAAAATGGAAACCAATCTTTGATACCCATAGGCAGGATTTGTTTTCCGAATTTGTGATCCACAAAACTGCTGCAGAGGCAATGTCTTGGTCCGGGCCACAGAGGAGCAAATACTGGAGCTGCGTGTTGTGGTCAAGTTTTCTGGAGACTTTAAAACATGTTGAAGCATGTTGAAACACGTGGACAGATGCAAAGCCCGTGAGTCATAAGCTGTTGATCTCTGAGGTTATGTTGCGCCAGCAGTGAGGATGGGGCTGCATATTTTGGGATAGTGGAAATTCGGTAGCATCTTTGCTTGGGAGAAGTGCTTCCCGGTCCTTTGGCTGAAGATGTAGTTTGTATTGTGTCGAGCTGTCCGATATCCCTCATCGATTCACGAACACAACCAGCTTACGTCCAACATCATCAGAAATGACAGCGAGGAGGTATCGGATGCTATCGGCATCAATCAACTGACAGTATATTTCATTGCTGGCAGAATGCATGTGTGAAGTATGCAATGGCATGAGGTCAACGGATGTGATACTCTGGTTCACACACTTTGAATTCAAGCATGGTAACTGGTGTCCGCACGAACTGGGCAGGATGGCATTTGCTCTGGAACTCAAGAAGGCGACAGTATGCGACAGTAGTATCACTAGAAGCAGAGGGAGCTGTGCTGTTGTCAGCCTTCTCTCCTTGGTTGTGGTTCAGAGTATTGTGGTGGTCCCGCGTTTTTGTATCCTACCCCTTAGATCTCAAGAATCCCTTTGGACAAGACATGACCACATTTTCCATGCTTTGTCCCATTCTCGAACATTACAGCACAGCGGGTTCATTCTTGGCGGTAATGGTAATGATTGAGAATCAGCACGTCTCAAGGGCAAATGTTTCGTGATGATTTGTATGTAGCGCATTTTGTCCTCGTTTCATGTTTTAGAAACAGCATGTCATATCATGTCATGTTTGACTTCGAAGAGTTGGTGTCTGGACCGCAGTCTTTGACCTTTAATGATCAGACATTTCCTTTCAGAACTTGTGAGGCAATACCATGATCATCGGCTACACTGGCTCAGTCCGCACGGCCCAGTCAGTGGACAGGCAATTGGACCGTGTTGGACCATGTTGGATCCACTTCACCTTGACTCAATTTTTCTGAGGCACCCATAAACGAGGTCAAGGGCGAGGTGCCAATGGAACAGATGGAACAGATGAAACAGATGGAACAGATGGAACAGGGTCCTCAGCTGTACAAATTTTGCATACTTTTTACATCTTTTTACGATTTACAATTCAACTGCGGCCTGCAGGTGAGACTGGTGGAAGTGAAACTTGATCTGAGCCGCTCGGCTGACATTGCCATTAGGATCATCAGGGAAGGGATGGCTGCCATGGCTGTTAGGTATCATTTCAGTGGTAAAACAAACATGACCTTGCGCCAGTAGAAAGAGTATTCAGGTATTCCAGCCAGATGCTTCTCGGTTTTCTCGTTGACTGAGATCCTCTATGATTCATACATTGACCTTGGGTGATCAAAGATGCCAACAGACAATCCCCCATTTGTAGATGTTCCCATTGAAACCTCCGTTTCGCAAACGGATTTAAGCCTTGGATTTCCCGGTGTGACCCGCCATGGATGACACCAAGGCCTAGGCTCCAATGTGGGCGTAGCCTTTGATGTGCAGGACAAGAGCCACCCTGTGGTGAAGGAGGTGCTACCTGGATCTACCATGATCTACCTGGTACCTTTTTCTGATATCTTGTGATCAGTACGAATCAGTACAATCGTGTTGGATGATGCTGATATGTTGGATTGATATGGATTGATGGGATATGATGGGATGGATGGTGTAGAGAGCAACCAATCGGACTGGTGTTTTTTTTTTTTTAATACATCCAACAATTTAACATACAGTCTTCCAAAATCGATTGGATGATGTGGGATAGTGACGGACAGTTCACGGTTGAAGAAGCTGTTTCATTGCGAGCAGGTTTTCGGCGGCTTGCTGGAGATGTGGAACAGCTCCTGTTTGCCAGAGCAGGAAGTGAAGGCGTCAGATTTCAGTTACTGTATGTGTTTAAGCTATTGCCACGTTTGAAGCCGATGTAACAACAAATTCTAGAACATAAACATAGCTGAAGGATGCGGAAGGACATGATCACATTGGTACTGTGCCTCAAAAGTATCGCTTGTCTCCTACACAATCACCAGCGAAATTCAAAGGTGGTTGTGCATTGATACACATCCCTTGGGTTACCAGGTCTTTGATCGACTGGTGGAAGTGGACGGCAAAAGTGGTAGCAAAATGGATCTCTGTGACCGTCTCTCCGAACAAAAGGAGACCCGCTCCTGTGCTGTGTGCCGTGTTAGACTCTGGCCACCTGGTGACCTTGGTGCTTCATTTTCACATGACCATACGTGATGATACGCGCACAACATACCGTTTTCATCCGTGTTCATCCATTTTCATATGTTCTGTCCACCGAAACTCCCCTAGTGATAACAAGAGCAGCGACCTTCTGGGACAAATCTATGACTTTTCAGCGCGCAACGTGAGGATGCTATGACGGGGACTATGGTCTTGAAATTTGCCCGACCCAAGGCACGGGTGTGGCTGGGCTGGGCACAACACATGTAATGATTGGACGGCTGGATTCGGCTGGATCCCTTGGGAGTCAAGACACGACCTGGGAGACTGAGAAATATTGAGAAATGGCATGTGTGAGTGTAGCAGGCGTAGCATTACGGTAGAATTATCAGTGTGATCGCTGTGATCGTGATTATTTGGTTGCAGCCACCTCATCACACCTATGACCAAAAATGCTTTGCTGTTTCACATCCTTGTTCAAACCATGCTGCTCAGCAGAACGGAGGAGAAGAAAGTGACTCTGAAAAAGAAAGAAGGATTGGGTTGAATTTTGGGAGGTCAAGTGCCATTGCCATTTGCTGCCAGCATGCTACCAGATCCATGTCATCTCAAAAAGCGTTCAGTCCGCCTCCAAATCCTTCTGTTTGACTGCCGTGTGACTTTGGAACTCGAAACAGCTCGAGACTGCTCTGGGAGTATATTCGGAGTAGAAAGCACGGTTCTACAAACTCTGTGCCCAGTGTTTGGACACATGTCTATATAATGTTTATCAATGCGAGGCAAGGATTTTGGAGTTACTTTAAACTACTACAAGTCTTCGATGAAGGTGATCATCGCAGGCACCGGATACGTCAGGCTTTTGCCATGCTTTGAATTTAGGCAGTCAGCTCAAAGCTTTCTACTTGTGATTCATGAATATTCATTAATATTCATGATATCATATTTGGAAACTGCCGGAAGTGCATTGATGCTGTGGTTCGGCTGAAGTACACCAGCAGCCGGGCCTGGGACCAGGTGTTGAACCTAATGGCATCACTGCCGACTGGAATGAACAGCATCCTGACACCCCAGAGCGGGAGCTCAGAAAGCTCAACAGATCGGGCCGGACTAACAGATTGAGTAGCATCCAAAGCCAAGCAATCGATATTTATAAGATATAGTTAGTAAATGTTAGTAATATAAAGATTCTAGATTTACTGTAACCACGAGTCGACATCACATGAGCAAAGGTAGAACATAGATTGAAAATGTACGTAGCTTCTCACGGTATCTCTGTGACTTTGATATACTTTGATCTTTGCTGCACCAAATTGCACCAACCTTTGATTTTGCATATCAGCCCTATGAGTGTAGCAAGCGATTGGTCCTGGAACTCCTGCCCAGGTGTTGGCCGACGATGTGATTGTTGAAGTGAACGGTCCGGGGCACAGAAGCTTAACAAAGAAGCTCAGATTGGGTTCCTGACTGAAACTGAAACCATCAATTTCCACAGCAGTTTAGCTTAAATGTTGCAGAGACAATCTGATGCATCCAAAGAAGGGTGTAACTGAAGTCGTGTCACACACTACTGTAAGTTGTGGTTGCTGCAGACACAGCTAGAAAGCACAGGGGCCAACCAAATTGCAGTTTCATGCAACTCCTATATGCCTATATGTCCTTGGACTACCTGGAGGCCGTGTTTCTCCAGATGGAACATCACGAATATCATGAGCATCAGCAAAGCATCATGTCATGATGTGCCATTTCTATCCATAACTGCCATAACTTCCTTGAGAAGCTGTTAGAAAAAGTCTCGGGTGAGGAGAGCTATGGAGAGCTGAGACCCACTCAGATGCCACTGTATGTCTTGAGGTGTCAGTGGGTCGCCGATCAAAATGGTGTCAGAGTTGAAGAAAAGTGAAGAGCCAGAGCTCACGGTTCTGCAATACTAGCTGACCATCCGGCCAGCCGGCCACCTAGGGTTCATCAGCACATTAAGATATGTGAAGCAAGCGTGCAGAGGTGCAGAGGTGATGGAATGTCCGTTGTCAGAGGACTTACATATTATATATATAATATTAGATTTATATTATTTTAGAATTTTAGACAGTTACTACAATGCAAACATTTTAACATGCACGGTCCAGGTAAATCATATACACAAGCTGTTGACCAGCGGCTGCTGTTCTTTGGGCTCCACCAATTCCATGAGATCCTCAGAGCAAACTCTTGGATCGTGGTACAATTCACAAATCATCGAAGGATCAAGGGTCAGCCGCGATACAATGATTGCTTTCCTGCAGCTCAGGGACATACATCACTATTCTGCCTTTTTTTCCTGGGCATCTGACGAAGTCAGAAACCCTTTGCAAGCTTCTTTCTGGCAGCAGATACCATGCTGCTGATAGAAGGTTGTGCTGTGCTATTCTGTGCTTCAGGTTGACAAGTCGACAATGATGTCCTGGACTACTGTATGCCGCTAGCAATCATGTTTAGAAACTGTAGCTTAATTACTATTCCCGACGCTGACTAGCGAAGTACAACAGCATAACAGTAAAAGTGTACTGCATGATGAAAAGAATGGAATGCAGAGTGTTTCGATGATCTTGCCACTATTACGATCACAACATATATATATAAAATAATATAATATAATATAGTATAATATAATATAATATAATATAGTATAAGATAATATAATATAATATGATAATATGATATGATATAATATAATATAATATGATATAATATAATATAATACAATATATAATAATATATATATAATATAATATAATATATAATATAGTATAATATAATATGATATAATATAATATAATATAATATATAATATAATGTAATATAATGTAATGTAATATAATATAATATAATATAATTTAATATAATATAATATAATATAATATAATATATATATATATATAATATAATCATCACATCTTCATAAATCTCTCATTATGTATGAGATAATATCACATATATTACATATCATACTGTATGGATTCATTTGGTTGGGCAAACCGGAAAACCCTTTGGTTTTCTGAATTTTGTCGACGAGCCTTCGGGGCCAGAGCAGCAGCGGGTGACTTGTGGGCTGCGTGCATGAGACGCCCTTGACAATGACATCGAAATTGTGTGCAAAAAGAGCTGAGGTGGCTCGGGTTGAGCTCCTAGAGCTGGAAAGACATGTTGTATTTTTTTTGAAACATGTTGTCATGTTGTGTCACTTTTTGTCACTCCAAAGACTCCAAGTATCTCAAGCAAATTGGACCGCTCTGCTCATGTGCTCGTCAGGACCGGCCCTTGCAGCTGCTTTGCAGCAGCAGGAGCTTACGATGCTTACGGGCCTCTCATGGCCCAGGGCTTTCCACCGATCAAACAATGGTAGCGGTTGGAGATGGAGCTATAAATGAATCAGGGTGATGTATAAACATGTATAAACCATACATCAAAGTAACACACAATATCATCACTGCTTCTGATTGATCTTCAGCACTGAGAGACTCAGGACTAAAGTTGAAACTGAAAAAATGGTATGTATATATTCACATACATAATGTATTGTATAAATACAAATTTACATGTGTATCATACATATTCATCTTTTATCGAACAACCTACCACTGACACTGGTTCCAAGGAGCTACGACCATTCGAACGATGTCACCCAACCCAACCCCAGGATCTATATGTATATATATATACATATGTATATATATATATATATGTATATACATACATACATATATAATCATATATATATATATAAAACCAGAAAAAATGAACATTTACTATGTGCCCCTGTGGACATGACAGGACTGCCTGCATCCTTGCTGCTGTGCGGATGACCACGGTGATTCTTCAGTTGCTGCGCCCTGGTATCCAACAGTGGGATGGCGTGGAGTTACGATGATTGATACTGTCGGTGCTTCAAAAAAAAATAGGATAATCAAGTCAACCAACATGAGTTCCACAGTACCTGATGGTTTGCTAACAAGTGGTAGCTGGTGAGGACAGGGACACAATTCGGAGCCGCATTCTACTAGGTCACACTTTGATGCATAACATTGGAAAGGTGAACGTGGTGAAACAACCAAGAAACATGGCCAGACACGGGTACCTGCATTGACCATGCATTGTTTCATTCCATAGTTTTTTAGCAGGTTTGTCCTGTGCCGATTGGATGATGTCTTGATCTTGCTGGGTGCTCAGAGCTTAAGTTGATCCACAGGGAAGGTTTCATACATCGCTACGGCACCACATCGCTATATCGCGCTACCTAATTCACATGCGATGCGACCATTTTGGTATTTACATTGTATATGCAGTCATAATAATAATCAATCATATTGTAAAGCCATGTAAAGCCCATTATTGTTTCTTTTTGTCTCCTTGTCTCCTTCTCCTCCGGCACATCTCACACTCCCTGGTTGTTCCGTCCCGCTGACGGGTTTCTGTCCGGTGGGAACGCCCCAGACCAAGGCTCTTTTCTTACAGTCCCAAAACATGACAAAAGTGCTTGATACAAGATGATACTTGTACAAGCATTTTTAATGCATTCGGTCACAGGAGTTGTTTCTGTTAGCAGACCAGGTTAGTTCAGCATTTTCTTTAAAAACAAAGCGATCTCCTGTCGCCTCAACTGATGCAAAGAGGGGTCTAAAACCACGGGCAAGCTTCAAGACATCAGCAGGCTCTCTACTTGTCATTGATGTTCATCCATTTTGATCCATTTTCATCCATTTTCCAATGATTTCCATCAAACTACCGCATCATTCTGCGTGAAGCCGACTGCCTCAGCTCTAAGTTTCGTGATGCCATTGCTGATGACTTTCGTCAGTCTTGCAGTCCAGGTGCCTCTGCTGATCACCGCTGATCCATGAACAGTTTGGAATTGGACATGGTGAGGTGGTGTCAACCAAGAGTTAGGTTTCCATATGTTTCCATCAAGACACATCAGCGTACTTTTACTCCAATCCTGCAAAATACCTTCTTGTAAGTAGTCAAACCTCATTATGGATATTATGGGAAATCCCTTACAGTATACTGTATATCTGCACATTATCCATTATATATGACTGTTTTTCCTATAAAAAAGTTTTTTTTTTTTAAATGGATTTTCACTTGCCATGTTTGATTGCCAGAGCTTCGTTGTTTTATCACGGCCAGGTGGCCTTGGTTTGTGCTGCCTGGGACCTGCGACGAACTCGGCGCTGCTTCAAACGGCACGGGGCTTGGTGAAACTTCTTAGTGGATTTGAATGAAATCAATGGAAAGTAATGGATCCTCATGGATATGATATGATATTACTGGAGATATTTTGGAATCTTGATGTATCTCCCCTTCTGATAAGACATGATTTAGTTTGGCAAGGAACTCAAATCACTCATACTGCTTCCACTGGGCTTCCACTGGGCTTCCACTGGGCTTCCACTGGGCTTCCACTGGGCTTCCACTGGGCTTCCACTGGGCTTCCACTGGGCTTCCACTGGGCTTCCACGACCTCCTTTCGATGCATCAGAAAGTGCAACGCCAAGAGTCTGGTACTGTCAGCTGTGTCAACCTCTGATGTTTTCACGGCGCAGCCAAGGCCGCAATATGTGATGCATAGCTTCACATTGACGCTGAAGGTCCATTTGGATTTGGCGGCCCAGCCGCAATCAGGGAAGTTCTGCCAACCGGCCCACTGTCCGGACCCACTGTTGAGTCTTCCAAATGCCTATATCCAAATACAATATATCATGTATCCAAATAGTATATCCAAGTATTGCCAATCTACTCCCAAAGGTGTTGGATAACCTATCAAGTGAACCCAGCCCAAGTTTCACCAAGTCCATTCTGGGTGCCTCAGGTCATACCGCTCATGGCACAACGGCATCATTCGGAGTCCCTTTGCGGCACTGGGGGAACAGTGGAAGGAGCAACGGTCGCTCCAAGTGCCGAAGCACCACATATCACCACATATCGCCACATATCACTGCATACCAGCACACTAATTACTCTTTATGGATCTTTGTGGATCTTTATGGTTTACATGACCATCGAGTAACTCAAGGCCGTCGGCTAGGCGTTCCGCCAAGTATCAGTCGGATCGCACGGTGAAAAAAGCTACGTTGCTAATGCTCCGGTGGGTTATAGGCTTCTTGCGTGAAGGGAAACAACACACACAGACACACCCTTGCCATGAACTGTTGGTGTTTCCAACGATCCGAACACTCCAACGATATCTACAGTATCTACAGTGACACAGTGATAAATGTTAAATCTCACTTCGCAATCTGTGCATGCCACATTTCATGTCTGCCTGAAGGCTTTGGCGTCCTGCTGCTGTTTTGGTCTTTTTGCAGCTATTGGTGCAGGTGCCATTGGTCTCCTGATGGGATAAAGCCATGGAAAGGAACATATGTTGCTTTGTTCCTATAATTATATTATAGTCTGTTTCACAGTGGGAATTGTACTTGGACTCAAAAACTTGCCTTGATCCAAAACAAATGCTCTTGAGTCATGAGGCAAACGTGAATATATTGGATCCTCCGCGGAATTCTCGTACACTGGAACTGCAGGCAGCAAATTGTCAGCTGACCGCACTTGGAGTGTGTGCACATCACCAACAGATTGTACGCGTTCACAGATATAGTAGGTACACTTCGTTTTGAGTCTAAGCCGACTGCAGACCTCCCAGCACGCCATCACTTGCGGTCGTAGCTGCATCATGGCCGTGTCCTTTGCATCGACTGCCACTGTCCTGGGATATCCTGCAGAAGCTGAGAACAGAAGCCCTGCAGAAGCTCAGATCCAAGATGGGTCCAATGAGGAGCTGCACAAAGATGGCAGGGGCTAAGGGCCTGAAGGTTTGAGGATATTTAATATATATATAATATATATAGATATATACAATAATATGAGCAAGAGGCTAAACTCTCCGTGTAGGAGGTATGTATTCGAGCGCTCTCGTATGTAAAAATATGCATCTTGATATGTAAAACGATATAATGAAGTCCCAAAAACGATAACCTGGGAATCATATTATATGTAAAAGCATTGTGGGAAGTGAAGGGCTGGTGTACATGACATGATGGTGGACACCTGTTCTAGAAGCATCTAGATAATCTAGGCTCTCAGTTGTGGGGTATACGTCATGACCAGCTCACACAACGGAAGATGTGCAAAAGTATGCTGACACTCTTGATCCTAGCCAATATCTTTATTTCTGATTATTGCAAACAGTTTTGTATCCAAGCACGTATTGCTACAGTATGTGGTAACTAGCTGGATTTGGATGCTCTTTTTGTCTCGCCATTGTTCAAGCCTTCCGGATGAGCGTTTTGTATTCTCCCGCTTTCATGCAAGCATTGACGATGTCAACAGGCCTCCTTTCCAACATTCCTTGGTTCATGCCATTTTCCAAAAGGTTTCCCTCTTTGAGCGATAACGAAAACGATAACTAAACGATAACCATTTCTTGACAAAATGTCCTTCGCTGATTCTGATGGATGGCCCAGATGCGACAAGATTCTTGAGATGATTCTTTGCCGTTGAATATTATCACTTGCTTATTGCGATTTTTCGCTGCTATGTAATTCTTTTGCGGCGCCCCATTGCTTTAGTCAATCCTGGTTCATCTCGGGCACACCGGCACACCTGCACCTGCAGGTCCGGTTTGGCGATCTTTCTCCTAGATGAAGATAGCCAAGGCAAAAGCATTGGACCATGCTGATGGTTTGCTACCCAGACGCTGGGGAATGAATGAAAGGCATGGAACATGTCGCTGTGAGAGCTCATCCAGACTTCTTCCAACATGCTTCAGACGCTGAAGTGGAGGTGTAAAAAGGCTTTCCGCACGCAATTTGCCAGGGGACGCAAATGATGCAATCAGGATATACTGTAAAACGATATAGTGAAGTCCCAAAAACGATAACTTTGACCCGAGATCGCATTTTTCAATTGAGGTTTTGCCGATCGCTCATATATATATATAATATAGAGATATTTAAAGATATGTTGACAATAATTTTTGAGGTATTTTGAGATATTTGAGCATTTTCAAAGGGCCCCCTGACAAGGAGAGTGCACAGAGGAAGCCCATAGATGCTGGTAACCTGGCACGGCCAACTCAATCCTGGGCATTTTTCTGTTTCTTTTCAGATTCGAGTCGTGCACAGTCCCCCAATCCCCGATGATTCGTTGCCTTCCTTGTTGCCTTGGTCACTTCAGGTCACGCTCCATATCGATTTGCGTTAGATGATTCGTCAGCTTGGCGCAAACATCTCGAAGATGAAGGATATGTTGTTCTCGCAAGGGCCATGACTCCTGATGAAGTCAAAACTGCAAAGGACTTGCTGTGGACAGTTTCTTGTCTTAACCGCGCATAGCTAGAATAACCGGGTTGTCTCAAAGAAAAATGATGTAGACAGGTGGCATCAGGTGGCCACACTTTTCTGCAGGTGAGCGAGTCTCCTGTGTGAGGTGGGTTCAAATGCTTTGCCGATGTGTCTTTAGGCTGGTGTAAACAGGGAACCTCTCCCGAGGATTCAACATTGATTTACCTGACAGATTTGCACAGTACCAGTACCATCATTAAAGCAATAAACAGGACGAGCCTTCGGCAACAATTTTGTGGCATCAAAGCCTGCTTTGATACCTTTGATACAAGGACATCGAAACGCATCATGGGATATCACGTGCTGATTGTGAGACATGGAAGACTTGGAGGCTTTCTCGTACAGGCGATGGCAAACGCAGTAAAATGTTTGGATGGGAGGATTTTTGGCTTCCCAGAGGCTCAAACAGAGTTTCAAAAGCAGCTGATGTTTGATAAACATTGTTGAACCGAGTTAAACCCTATCATGATTATCATGAAGATTGCACAATTTACCAATAAACCATCCCTGCATTTACCAATGACCGTTGAACATCCCCAATTTACTTTTTTTTTTTTCCAATTACCGATCTTGGTCCAGTTTGTTGCAGCTGCACTCGAAGGCCTCGACACAGCCGTGGTACAAGACCCTGGTGCTTGGTACGTCCGGGCGTGTCCCGGAGTGAAACGCCCGTTTGAAGAGGTCTGGGAAACTCCAGAACCTTGCCAAAGCGAATAGATAGGTTTGAATATGGTTTGAATATGTTGAATGTGTGGCTGTGGTACCCTGGAAATAAGACCCAAGTCACCGTTTGAACAAAAAACATAAGGTTTTCATAGGTTTTCCCGCATTTACTTTAGTCATGTTTATTCACAGGTTAGATTCATAGCAGTGCTGTGCTCCCACAATGTATTCCAAGGAGCTGATTGTGTCAATGGATGCTGTGATTCTTTGGAGACCCTGGTGGATCAAGTCTTCATGGATGCCGATCACAGAAGGAGTTCATGGCTGGGACGTTCTAACTTAGTCCAGCGTACGACTTTGCAAAGCCATGTCGATAGACAGTATCCTTTGCAAAGCCATGTGGCGTACGGACATTTGCGCGCGATTTCATGATAAGCTAGAAATATCGAACGCTTGCTGACATTGTGCTCATGTCTCGTTTCGAAGCATGTGGTCATGCACCAAGTAAGACTGGCCGCGTCGCTTTGTGCAGGATTGCATTTGGATCAGAACCCGTTTCACAAGCCCGGTTTGGAAACGGTTCAAGGAAAACTGCGGTTTGCTTCAGTAAGTTTTTTTTTCCTTGGCTTTGCACTGACCATTAATCGCTGTAATGTGACCCCATGTGATCCCATGTGATCCCCAATTTCTTGGAAACTGCTGCATCATGCTGCATCTTTCAGGCATGGTTCCTCTGCTGCCAGTGAGCATGGCAAGTGGTGGCCTTAAGGTCATCCCAAGGTCACATACCGAAGCTGCCAAAGCTGAGCCTTGGATGCGGGGGGTCAACTGATTGGTTTCTTATGTTTCATAGGCTGCTCGAGGATGACTCATGACTCAGTGGTTAATGGAATTCGTAGCAAACGGTGCAGCGGCTTGTTCGCTTTGTTTCGCATATGTCATATTCTTGCATTTGTTGAGCGGCAGCTCATCAAAGTTTGAACGCTATTGCTTGGGATGATGAGCGGGCAAAGTGCTTTTTGAGAGTTTTTGAGCATTTATCTATGGACTTAGCATTTCAATTCGCCATGCAAAGAATGTTGTGTCATTCTATGTAGTGTTATATATTTCCGTTCGTTTCCAATGCTATGAGGAGCTGAAAGAGGAATTTCCTCACTTGGCAAGCTGTGGTGACTGGTGCCCGTTGATGAGCGATCATGAGAGCCTTGGATCGACAGTTTGTTGAGGCACAGACCATTTTGCTTAAACACCACTGAAGAGGCGAATGGTTCCCTTGGAGCAACTGAGCAACCTCTTCAGGTCCTATTTTTTGATGACTTGTTTGCTTGCTTGATGTGTTGGCGCCTGCTGGCACTCGTGGTGGCGCTCCTCAACTTTCATTTCATTGTTTGATCACTTTGAGATGAACACTTAGGATATTAGGATTACTTTAATGAACATTATATGAATGATTATTAGTATATGATCATATATATATATATACTTAACATGAGTCAACTGATGAATTCTTCCATATCCCCTGCTTCAGGAGTGCTATATTGCTCTTGGCGGAGCCTGGGGATCTCATCCTCTGGGATTCTCGCACCATCCATGGCGGCCACGTCGGCAGCGGCTTCAGTCGCTGCCCGGGCCCGGAGGAGTCCCCCGAGCTGGCGCGGATGTCGGTGACCGTGTGCATGGTGCCACGCAGTAAAGCAACTCCTGAAGTTCCTGCCTTGGAAAATTGAATAACCTGTTCTGTTTTGGCTACTTTAGTTTGTTTATTTTAGTTCTGATGATGAAGAATACATCCAAATATATCCAAATACTTTCAAATACTCCACTTGGATCGGTTTTTGACTAGCAATCGTTTGCATCACTATATAGACTATATATGACTATATATCATCTTCCGGCCAATTGTTGCGGTCCACATCAAATTCCAGGTTCTTGAAGCTCGACGACAAGGCTTCTTGATGGGAAAGATCTTCAATCATTCACCGCATGAGGCTGGCACCAGCAGTGGTACCTTGCGTTCCATGTCCGCCAGAAGGCATCGCCTGGAGGACCTGACTATGGCCCAGCAATCCCTGCTGTAGGGCACCGGCCCACAGCCGGGCGCCGGCAATGTACAGATGCGGAGGTCCAAAAAGCGTGCAGCGGAGGCGATGCTGCCATGATGCCATGAACGAAAGCGTACCATGAACGAAAGCTTCAACCGTCGTACCGGGACTGTACCGTAGAAATTTGATGTTCCACGATTTTCCTCAGAATCCTCAGAATTGGATCATCCATTCATATCCATTCAATATCGACCAGCTGCCACTTTCCCTTGGATCTAGACGAACCCTACCAGGGCCCAAACAAAGGTGCTGTTTCCAGTCTGCATGCTCCTCTATGGCCTGAGATCTGGAAGGCGTCGCTTGCCCAAGGCAGGGAAGCGCTGCACGCCACGTGTGCCACAGGTGGAAAGATTTGGAAAGAACAGTCGGAAAATGTCGGACATAGCAATGGTGCTAATTGGATCTAATTGGCGCAACGCGTTTTTTCTTGTCCATTAAATTAGGAGATGCATGTCTCCATGTTTGCGTCTTACCATCAAATGACTCTTCAACAAAGACTTGAACATCCACCAAATTTTGACACTCCAGATCTGAATCTTGGAAACAACAACTTGTTACCTGCTGACCTGGTCGTATCCTAGCTACACAGCTACACAAAAAGATATGTGATAGGATGCTAATTTGAATGATACCTTCCCTTACTCACCTTACCTTAGCAGCCTTAGTTCCTCCATGTTCCTCCACTTGGTGCCATGGTGAGACGGCCAGGTTCTGGGGCGGCCCATGATGGCCAATCCTAGACCTGCAGCACCAGACAGCCTCGAGGTGATGGAAGTAGACGCGACTTGGCACAGCGCTGTTTCCCTATAATTGGGACCTGTTGGAATCTATATGTTGAGATTAAGATGGGTTATTATATATGGTTATATACCTATGATGACTATATAATATACTATATGACTTATATATATAGTATTATGATATTGTGGATAAATGCTGAAGAGTTGACTCATTGGCCACTCTTGGAATGTTGCGTGGTTGGTCACATTGCGCGCGCCATTTCCAAATTGCCTCTAGTGAAGAGCTGGCTTCAAGCATCTGACATGCCAGAGCGCCGTGCTACCAAGGTCACTGACGCGAAGGTGCAAGCAGTCATGCAGGCAAGTTGGGAAAGACCTATATCGCCTACAGGGCTTATATGGCAGTCATCTTCATTTCCTGAACAGCTGAAATATGCCGATCAGACACACATATTTATACGGTAACGACATTTAAATATGTGGAGGGCGGGCCAGACCGCGAGGCCCCGGAGGTAGTATAAAATACCAGTTCGTATATTTAAATGTAGGTGCCGTATGTTTAAATGAATTGGATTCCGTATGTTTAAATGGCCGGGCGGGCCAAGGAAAACCGTCCCGGAGGTAGTCTAAAATACCTGTTCGTATATTTAAAAGTCCGTATATTTGAATGTAGTTTCCGTATATATATATATATAATATAAACAACATGAAACAATCGCATCACATTGAGGCAACGTGTTTGGCGCACAGGAGACCTTGTACAAGCCCGAGAATCGCCGTGGATCCTTGCCAGGGATCCAAGTCTGTTTGTCGTGGACTCCAACGATTCAAACCTCCTCGGTGAAACGTTTTTATAGTGGATTTTCCCATTAAAAATGGTGATTTTCCATAGCTATGTTAAATTACCAAAGGGTATTTTTGCTCTCCGATGGTTTGGGCTGATCCAGCAACTGAGCCAACTCGCAGGTCTGTAACAGATCCCACTGGCATGACAATGGCAGCAGATATGGCGCGGAAGCGGAGTCCATGGGTGTTGCTGGACTTGGAAATGGATTTGACCAGGAATCGACCAATAGCTGGGTGAGAGAATTAGAGTGTAGGCAGTGGATCCTGGGGTCAGTTGACGTGTTTTGATTGCAATGATCTATATATATCTATATGATCTATGTGCATGCGTGCATGATGTGGCTGGTCAACCATCAATGACTAACAGGACTAACACATTCTGCCAATCTGACTCACCAAATCATTGGACTGTCGCTTGATTCGCTTGTTCGTGGATTGAAGTCTTTCTGCGCACTGCAATACTACAAAAAATGACCTTAAAAGCACTTAATTTTCCAGCATGAACTACTCCCAGAAGCCAGCAAGGATCATTTTGCCTGGACAATTCTCCGGGAATTTGTTCTGTTCCTCTGAAGCCCTTCAGTTTGCCGAATTGGGCAACGCTTTCTCGATACAGATCTCGAAAACAACGCGACTGCATCTCTGGTGCAGGCAAACCAGCTCACACTGGAGAAGTTGCCGCCACTGGGATGAAGATTGAAGCAATGAAGACATATGAACAGCTGGTCTCAGTTTGACAGATCAATTCTTCTAGAGAAGGCAGTACTTGTAGTGAAACATAGTTAAACCATACTAAACCATGGAATCAAGACAATCAAGCTCCATATGTAACCACTAACCATCGCCAACCATCACCAACCTTCACTAATCTGTGCTAAGGAGGGGCGTGTCCGTGCAGAAAGGGAATATTGGACTCCAGGGCATTGCGACCTCCTCCGATGTCACGGCAGTCCGAGACTCAGAACTCATCGAGGAAGTCCTGCAATGTCTGCAATGTCTTAAACTTCAGATTCCTGGACATTCCTGGGCATTGATGGTACTAATGGTATTGATGGTCTTGATGGTATTGATGACATTGCCTAGAGAGCTAGAGACCATTTTAACTATTTCAAAATTGTATAGAGATACAACCAGGTGAGAAGCAAATCTAGCTGTTTGTGATGCAGGGTGAGTTTCATGTCCCTGATGGGCTCACAGGGGCGGGATGGTTTTTGGGCACCTCTGATACATCGTAC